CCCCAACTCTGGGCACTGCATGTACTGTATTTTGTATACATGTATTGATTTCCTTCTCCCCTTCTTGCTAAATTGTAGGAGGGGAGAGAACAAAAGCCCTCTAGTGATTAAGTTGGTTTTACACAGTGTATTTGTAAGTTTAAATTGAAGCCATCTTTACAAGCAAATGGCTTTATTAAACTAAGCACAAAATAATTCAGATACAATAATGCTGATTCATTTTTAAATGCAATTTTTTAATGTATAAATGTGTAAATATATACTATATATATAGCTCCACTCCAGAAATTGTTTTCCTTTGTTTATATTAAGTGAGCACTTCATGTTGTAGATACATGGCACTCTGGCCCATGGAATAGCCAGGAAGTAATGCAGTTGAAAACAATACTTGATTAAATTCGATGCAATACTTTATTAAAACCACTAATTGCTTCATGTTTTGACTTTTATTCATACATATTTTATACATGTATACTAAATTTTCTGTCCAGCTGGCAAGACATGATTTCCCGACCAAAGAGGATTTTGTCAACACACGTTATTTTTAACAAATACAACCTCTTTCCTGCTCCATACCATGGCTTCTTATCAACTAAATAACTGAGTTTCAGTACTTATTTTTCTGATGATCTAGGCCTGTACTTTTGAGTATCTGAAACAGCAACGGCCAACATTTTGTCTACAGTGGACTGCACAGGCTTTTAAGGGATTCATCAAAGTTTGGTGAACTGGTTGGATTCCCTTTCCATGTCACCCCCATGATCTGTTAATGACCTCCTAGGATCAGCTACTAGATTACTAAACACACTTCCCATTCCTGTGCTTCTTACGTAATGGACTGGCATGCAGCCTTGTGACAGGGTATACACCCCACCTCCATGCCATGACCTACCATGCCATGCACATTCCTATCCTGTGGCAGACGCACGTTTACTGCGCTGGTGCAGTGACCTGCTTCCATTACTCAAGAGGCATATGCTGCAGCACCCTCAGGAAACAGTCTGGCAGGAATCAAACCCTGCTCTTTTCACCTCTCAGGAGAGATGAAAGCAAGCAGTGGCCAGATTAGTTGTTTGTTCAACCTGGATTTTTGTCTGTCACCCTCGGATTGAGAACCCGTGTGGCATCCTGCAAGGAGAGCAGGGATGCTGGGGAGTGAGACGCTTTGTGCTGTGAATTTAAAGGCAAGGCCCCAAGATACTGCTTGCTGGGTTGCTTGGGTCAGAGATGACCCTTCCTATGGAGGCAAGGAAAGAGATGAAGTCCTGAATGAGCACGTTTCTGAGACTGATATCTTGATTGCTGAAACCTCTCAGGACAAAGTAGTTTGTCATGACGCTGTGGTTAAGGAGGCTTTAGTGAAATATCTGGGGTTTTTTAACTTCATAGCATTTTGACGTATAAAATTACGTTGAAATCTCTGTTAGTTTTGGCTTCTGTATTTAACCGTATTTACAGAAATGAGTTCTGTGAATCTGTCTTACCCCAAGGCGTTTCTCCTGTATTTGACACCTGATAAGGAAGTGGATGTGACAGCACATGTACCCTTATATTTGTTTCTGACACAAGGAGCAGTTTTTATTGAGGTGGGCTGGTTCAGAACTGTTTGTTTTACGTAATGTTCAAAATCAGAATTCTTTTTTTGTTAGTAGTGGAGTTTATTAAGAAATCTTCCTGTAGTATCATGTTTCTGGTTTTAGACGTATGTTTTACACTGTTACAGCCTGGTGTTTCTTGGACAAGAGCAACAGTTTTGTAGTAAACTGTACAGTCTGCAGCCAGTTGCTAGACATTTTTAACAAAGTCTACCTCTATATTCTGTGTCTCATACTGCCATCTAAGGGCCACATAGGCTGAGAAGGTGGCTAAAGGTTCTTCAGTACTTTTCTTACTTCTTACTGCCCTGCCCTTTGAGCAGTCAGCAATTGATGGAGAAGGGTAGGCAGGGAATAACAGCAGTCCTTTGATGCAGTATGCTATTTCATCTGATGATAGAGGAATCTTCCGGATAATTGAGAAATTTGAATGCAAATCTGAGTTGTAGACTTTTAGGCAAATGCCATTGAAATGAGTTTGTGTAAAAGCCGGCAAATAAGAAAGTGAGATTACAGGATTTGAGGCTACCCTTAAAACAAGTTAAGGAGTGTAGTGCTTAGAGTCCAGAAGAGTTTCAGTTGAAACTCTTAGCGGTGAGGGAGTGTGCAGTTGAGATTCTTAAAGGTACCAAAGTCCTTGATTCTTACTGATTTAAGGGTTAGTGCTTTATAATAGTATTTACTTATTAAGATTTTTCCCTAAAAAGGTACAAAATAACATGAATTATTTTCTTCTTTTTTCTAATTTAACTGGTTTTGCATTTCTGGGTGTTTCAATTTTCTTGGTCTCAGGGAAAATGGGCAAGAATGTGGTATTTCTCTAAGAGTATGGGATGTTACATAACGTGAACATCATTTATATATTTTGGGGTTTTCTTTCCAGGATGAAAATGCATTTTTATTTTTTTTAATCTGTAAACTGTACTTGCATAGGCTTAATTCTGTAGCACCTTTCTCACACAGATGTTTTGAACTACAAGTGTGATAAAGAATTAGCGACAGAAGCGAAACATTTTAGTATTTGTCAATATAGTACTGTTGGCATTGACTGAAAAAAGCAGTTTTTATAATGAGTGCCCTTTTGAGCACTTTATTTTACAATGTATGAGTTGTTTTTCAGGCTAGTTTCCAGAAAACCTTGTGTAATAGAGAAAGTAATTAATCTTGCATGTTACTTTGACAGGCTCATGCAAGCAAAGACCTGGAAGAGCAGTTGCGGTCTGTGTCCAGTGTGGATGAACTCATGACAGTACTTTACCCAGAATACTGGAAAATGTTCAAATGTCAGTTGAGGAAAGGAGGTTGGCAACACAACAGGGAACACTCCAGCTTTGACACAAGATCAGATGATTCCCTGAAATTTGCTGCAGCACACTATAATGCAGAGATCCTGAAAAGTAAGTACAGGACACAAAATATGTTCTAACACACAATACATTAAAATCTGAAGGCTTCTCAGTTGTGTCAAAAATATTTAAAAGCTAAAAAACGTCAGTAAACCAACCTCAGGAGTTTGATTTGACGTCATGTCTATAACATAAAAATCTTTGATAGTCAACCTTCCGTAAATAAATTAATCACTTTGCAGATGTGTTTTTGGTTCATACACTGTAAGAAAGGTATAGACTGCTTTCTCAGCTCAGTAGATATAGGAAGTTAAGTGCTTGTTTTCAGGTATGAGGCATCCTGGTTTGCAGAGTCTATAACAATTTTGCAGAAAGGAAAGAGGGCACTAATATTTGGATTCATTGAACTGTTCCTGCTCATTTTCTGCAATTACATCATGGCTGGGAATGCTTTCTTCTCTTACATGTTTTTTCTTTAGGATGCCAAATAACCCACTTGTAGCTTTTTGCTGTTACAAGAGGGCAGTTGTCAGGATGTTATGCTCAAACCGGAAAAAAACAGCTTTCAAACAAATATGTCAATACCCCTTAGTGTTTTGGATGGCTTCGATAAAAATACATTAGCTTATAGTTTAAGCAAGTGTTTGCAGGCAGAGATACACAGGATTTATAGTAGGAGGTGTATTTTTTGACATGATACTGGAAATCATGTGCCTGAATGGAGACTTTAAAGTACACGTTAAGTGAAAATTCTATTTTTGTTGAATAGCCTACCAAAAACTGGTGCCAAGAGAGGCTAATGAACACTGTACAGCTGCAAGTCTCATGGCTGTTTAGTGTAAGATTGTATTTGGTAAAAGGCTGTATAACGGTGTAAAATGTTTGCCCAAATTTGCATGGATAATCTGGACATAAATATCACCTTTCAGATTAAATCATATGGTGTATATAATTGCTAAGTAATTATGATTTTCTTTGTTATACTCGTAGTTAACAAAGTAAAAATATTCAAAATAATTTCACATTTAACTGCGTAGGTATCAAATTTAATGTTTCTAATATATTCACTCCGAGTGAAGTATTATGTGGGACTGGGTAAAATTACTTTGTGGAGATGTGCAGTACTACTTTAGATTTCATTCAAGGTGAGACTCACCCCCAGCATAGGAGAAAGGACATGTACAGCTTTAGCTGCTGGCCAGTAGGTCAAAGGTGATTATTCTCCTCCTCCACTCTGCTCTTGTGAGACCCCACCTGCAGTGCTGTGTCCAGCTCTGGGGCCCCCAACATAAGAAGGACATGGACCTGTTCGAGTGGGTCCAGAGGAGGCCGTGAAGATGATCAGGGGAGTGGAGCATGTCCCCTGTGAGGACAGGCTGAGAGAGTTGGGGTTGTTCAGCCTGGAGAAGAGAAGGCTCTGGGGAGACCTTATAGCAGCCTTCCAGTACTTAAAGGGGGCTACAGGAAAGATAACACTCTATCAGGGAGTGTAGTGATAGGACAAGTAGTAATGGTTTTAAACTGAAAGAGGGCAGATTTAGATTAGATATGAGGAAGAAATTCTTTACTGTGAGGGTGGTGAGACACTGGAATAGGTTGCACAGAGAGGTTGTGGGTGTCCCATCCCTGGAAACATTCAAGGTCAGGTTTGACAGGGATCTAGCTGAAAATGTCCCTGCAGGGCACTTGGACTAGATAACTTAAAGGTCCCTTCCAACCCAAACCATTCTATAGCTATGATTCTATATTATAAGATCTGCCCAGCCTTGTTAGTTTCCCTCTTAGCTCAGCTGTGCCTTCCTTCTGCTCCATGACAATATGTCACATCCCTACGAGGAAAAATTAGCTAGGAGTTAACACGGAGAGATGCATATTTCACCGAATAAAGGGTGTGACTCTAGTGATGTATTCTGGTTCTAAACTTTAAAAAAATTCCTACTAATTACTGCAGGAGAGTATTGTTTTTAAACAGTTACTTTATAACACATGAAATTCCCTATAACTTGGCAGGTATTGATACTGAATGGAGAAAAACTCAGTGCATGCCACGTGAAGTGTGTGTGGATGTGGGAAAAGAGTTTGGAGCAACTACAAACACCTTCTTTAAACCTCCATGTGTATCCACCTACAGATGTGGAGGTTGCTGCAATAGTGAAGGACTTCAGTGTATGAATATCAGCACAAATTACATCAGCAAGACAGTAAGTTCTCACTTTTATTACAGTCCAAGTTCTTCTTGCAAATCCATTTATGATCATGCATATTTTCAACCTTCTTACTGATACTATGAGGAAGGAAAATAAAGAAAATCCTGAATACATAGGAAAAACAGCTGAAGAGACTGCTGCCTGGAAGAAAGTGCTTAACATTCTTTCCCCCCAGATAGATAGATATAGATAGATATAGATATATATAGATATATCCATATATATATATATATATAGAGAGAGAGAGAGAGAGAGAGAGAGAGAGAGAGAGA